ATATATATATATATATGCATATAAAATTTGCTGGCGGCGGATGGGAGGAGTGGAAGTTGAATAGTTGGCGCTGAAAAGCACAATAAAATTTTAAAATGTCAGATGGAAGGAGACGGCTTCCCCGTCCAAGTCCATTTTGCAGAACTGTAGATACACGGAGCTGATTCCTCTTCATCCGTTGAACCATACCAGCTTCCCGGCATTCTAAATTGAGTGCCGTTTTTTGCCATCGCACCTGATGGTGATAAATGTCTAAAATGACGTCCTGGAAATGCCGTAGTTGTCTAGAATAAGGAAATCACTTATTACCGTAATACATTTTCCCTGAAAACAAGCCATGTTCATGGAAAATTTTCACACTCTTCATTTTTTGGTTGTGCATATCCCCTGAAAACCATGAATTGAAAATGGCAAATAGGATCTAATTTTAAGTTTCACAGTTCAGTTATTGAAGCCTTTTAAATTGAATTTTTTTTTTCCATAAGAAATTTATTGCCGAGTCCTATGATTCAAGTCACCATGGTCTCAGAAGTATACAAATCGGCATTACATATTCCACTCACATGGTAAAGAAGGGGATATGCTCAGGACCTATGAAAGAATTCATAAGCTTCACGAAACTGATCTAATACAATATTATAGAGGGGATGGATGGGTTCCAGAAGATTGGTGTATGGACCCAAGACAGCAGCGGGTAAGGGTGGAGAATCCTCATTCTTCGACCAGCTACGCTGACAAACTGAGAGCCCGCTTAGACAGTAACATGTGTGGTAATAGTCTCTGGGCTTGCCTGGTTTGTCTCTCAGACCACCCTCCAGATCCTGCGTTTGTAAGTAATGGTATGTCAAAAACTAAACACCAATGCAAACTAAAGTCAGAAAACAGACAATTGGACTCCAGTTTTCTAACAATCAAGCCAAATTTGTGAGTAACACAGCGAAACTAAGAAGTACAAACTATTCACTTAAGGATGATTCATCAATCTTGACCTGTGAGCACAGAAGTATGTATTGCTGCAAGGCCAAGCTGTTAAAAATAGGTTCTATCTTTGTGTTACTACTGGAAGCATCATGTTCACCTGCAAACACGAAATCTGATTTATTAAGCAGCTCAAGAATTGCAGGGAATCAAACAAACCGGGGCACTATATTGTTATGATATATGCTCTTAAATCTGCATACCACCCTGATCAAAATGGTTGTCACTGTCAGATGAAACGCCATCCAAACTACCTTCTCCTTCTGCTACATCTGATGATGCAATAGGTTGTTGGCTTCCTGTACTGGAGTTGTCTCCACCAATAGTTGAAAGTAATCTTTTCAATAATGAGAATACACCTCCCTGCCCACGATCTTTGATCATTACTCACTTCGAAAACAAATTGTTAGAATTCAGAAACATGAATGAAAAATAGAAAGTTACCTGCCAGAAGGAGTAGCAACCATCAACTAATTTATTTGTTCTGCCCTGAAATCCACCCTCAACTCCTTGTCGAAATACCACCCAATCCTATAAAAGATTTCAAAATAAATGTTTACAGAAATAATCTAAAGAGGACTGCTATCATGATTTTTATGAAGCACCAAAATGAAAAATTACAAACCACCATGAGGAGAAGTTACATTATCTTACAATTAGTCTAGCCAAATCCAAGCGATGAACCTCATTGATCAGAATCATTGCAGCTAACCCACAAAAGGTGTACCTAATTAACATATTAGCAATCTAAGATTCAATACCAAAGAAGAAATAGACATGGCAATAAGCATACATACAATTACACATGCACATGAGAAATGAAGAAAGAAAACATGTGGATTATAATGATAATTAATAAATTTCTAAATTGGAACAAATAAATCAATTGGAAGAACAGGATGAATCATGAAGATACCCCCCATGAGCTTCAGAACCAGGTTCCCCAGCAATTCCACCTTCATAAGTCTGACAGCTGCAGAGTGATTGTGCTACAATAATTAGTCACTTGGTAGATCAGGGAATAGGCTTCGAGGACACAGATCAAGTAATTACCAACTCAGAACGATTAAAGCAAAAATCAGAAATGCTAATTTTTATATCAATGTAGAAGTACAAAGTTCCACCTAATTCCATCATAAGAACTTAGATTATAGGACAGTTAAGAGATCCTAGTTTTGAGACATTACATATTGCAATTTGCACTGTCCTGTAGAAAGATTAGTTACCGCCAGTTTAAAATTAGTGGATGACTGACCTTATGATGTAATTTCCAACACCCTGAACTAGTTCAGCATCAAGAATGTTAAGGATACTTGCAACCTGTTTAAGAAAGATAATTGAATCATCATGATGTACACTTATGTGCACACAGAGAGAGAGAGAGAGAGAGAGAGAGAGAGAGAGAGAGAGAGAGCTGGCTATCTTACTGAAATTGCAGTATAACATGCACGAACATCAATTTCTCCAGCATCATGCATCCTAAAAAAAAATAGGAACTTACAATCTCATTCAGCCTTTTTACAATGGAAAAGATAGGCAGTGACTCAATTTTGCATGTATTGAGCAGTGTGGAAGCATTAAGGTAAATAAAAGTGAAAGAACTTCAATCTCAAAATTACATTTATGGCCATAAAAGAAATTTAAGTACATTGAAACAATTTGATAGAAAATAGTCTCTCTTAACAAAATATATTAGCTGAAGAAACAGAATAGAGTTGCATATGCCACACCTGAAGGCCCCAGAAGGATCTTTCATCCGCCACAAAAACGAGTACATTTTTTCTCTGTAGGACATTGCAAGATTTTGTCAATCCACTGTCAAAAAGCCTTTTAATCAAATATCAATTGTTGCATAAACTGACCACCTATTGATTGACAAGAACGCTTTTTCACTGCCCAAAGTAACCAACGCATTGACTGCAGCATAATTTGTTGCAAGGTGAGGCATCTGGATTACAACATTAAGATTTAGAAGATAGTAAGAGAAGGAAACCAAGGAAAAGGAGAGCAGTGAATTTAATACTTACGGTTCAAATAACAAACAGTTAAATTCAGCTATCACAAACAATTGTCGACCGGAAACTAACAGGTAAAATGAAAAACCATATACACCATTTACTTGCCTGTCCAGGTCCACCACCATATCCACCATCTGGGTCCTGTCAGTAATAGAACAAAACGATCAAACCAAGAAGATGATTTAACATCATAAGCTACAAACATTGCGAAGCTAAATAAAACTATGATTATGGTTTGAACAACCAACCTGACAACGATTAAGAAAATCAATAACATTATCTTCCATATCATCATCCACAAAGTCCCCTAATAATGCAATGGAATGCAGAATCCAGTAGCAAAGCCAAGGCCGACTGGGCGAAACACCAATTTCCAACACAAAATCAATAGATAATCAAACATGAGTATCTAAATACTTAGAGTCTGACTAAACCTAGAATTTGAAGGAAAGATTCGTACTTAGCATCTAATGAGCAAAACGAAGGAGGAAGCAGCCTTAAACCTCCAGTCAAATACTCGACATGTTTATCTCGTTGAAGCTCCGGCCTATACACATGAAAAACCAGATCTGAGACTCATCAACCATTGAAATCAACCACATAAAAGCAGAAAAAATGGAAATTCTAGGGTTTAAAACGAGTACATGATGGATTTGGAATTGGGACGAAGTTCGTAGAAGGCCTTGTAGATGTTGAAAACGTCATGCTCGACTAGCGCCTGGTCGCGCTGAGTCACGGTTAGACTCCGGGACGATTCCATGATTCAATTGCAGCTTCTCCGGTGAGTAGTTGGGCGCTTCAGTACTGAGTTGATGAATCGCTCCTGCTGTTTTTACGGATCACAGTAAACTTTGCTGTAAAGTGGAGCGAGTTTGGTCACTTTGGGCCGTACTTTTTTTGCCGTCACTTAATTCCTTGGGCCCTTCCAAACAGGGTCACAGGAAAATGAAATACAATTGGTTTGGGCTTTGCTTTTATAGCCGTAGTGTAATTCATTGGGCCGGTCCAGACATGGTCCAACTTCTTTATTGTCTTTTTCCTTTTTAAGAAAGGAAATTATGCCGACCATAAAAGGAAAAAGGAAAGAAAATTAGGAGCCGATGCCATTGTTTCTCGTGCATCACTGTTAAGGGTGATTATATGGGGATAATTTTCTTTTATATTATTTCATATAATTTTTATATAACAACAGCCATATAATGGAGAGTTGAAGGGGAGAGAACATGAAAATAACTTTCTTCTTCCATAGAAATTAGTTACTTAAAAAGTCTGCCTTTCCAGCCGAGGGCAAATTCTCATGTCTCTGCACCAAGAATGGAAATTTCAGAGCCGTTTTCCGATTTGCATTTCTGATACAAGATGCAGTATCAAAACAAAAAGAAAACTAGTTTTCTCTAGCTCTTTAAGCCTCCCTGTTTTGTTTTAGGAATTGAAGGTCTTTCATTTGCATTTGTACAGCTTCTTTTGATAAGGGCTTTGGTTCTGGAACACTATCCTCATCGCTTCCTTCAGCTACTTTTGTTGCCTTCTCCTTAATAATCTTCTGTATCTCTGATTGCTTAACTGATGGGAAAACCGCACTGAGCATGGTATTTAGCAGTCTCTCATCTTCCTCTTCTATAGGATCCTTCGCAAAACAACAGACGTAGACTGCTTCAAGAGCCTTTTCAACTCGTATCTCCATGGGGATGGTTGGGGTAGCAACCCTTAACTTAGCTCGCCTCTACAACACATACACCATTTTCATCAAAAATGTTGCCAAGAAATTTAGCATTACCAAATCAAGGAACCATTTAAAATGGGAAAACAGAAGCACATATGTAGAGTAAACGTCCCAATTCTTAGCCTAGCAAGATGGTGACTATTATGAAGCCTACTATATGAACGGAAATCCATTACTTTCATGAGATTGTTTCCTATGAAGCCTGTGACATGAAAACAAAAAAAAAAAATCCAAGATTTCTCCATGTTATCCCTTCAGCAGCAGGCTAGTAACAACAGAATTCCAGGAAACATTTGTCCCAATACTATTTCCTGATGTTTTGATGCTATGTAATCAAATAGAAAAACTATAAACAACTTCAACTGCAAGGAAAAATGGAATGAGATGATGTACTAACCTCTCTTGCCTCGCTCATTAATGCAATAAAATTCTGCTCTTCAAATTCAATATCATTAGAAATCCGAAGCCTGGCTACTCCCTCCAATATCTCCTCAGATTTCAGAAGACCAGCACCCACAGCAGCAAGCCAACAGCATAGCAGCACATACAAAGGCTCCCCAGCCTACCCAGAAACAATCCCCACCTCAAAATCTTAAAATTGCAGTGAAGCAATAGAAATTTTCAAAAAACAAAGAAAAATTAGGAGCAGGAAAGAGGCAAGTACCTTGCCTCTCCGATCTTGGAATTCATAGAAAGCTCTAGAATCAGTGGTGGTACATTTCTTGCCCACCCTTCTTCTAAACTCAGCAAAATCGATGATATCCCCACCAACGCCGCCTTCATCACTGAGAATCCTCGCTAGGAGGCCAATTACGGGGAGGGATCCGATGACTTTGCTGGCTAAATTGGAAATGGAGTTGGGATTCTCAGTGTATGCTCTAACAGACACAAACCCATTGGAATTCGTGGCCTTTCTTCTCGTGGGTCTGCTGTATAATTGACGAAGGTATAGAAGAGAAGGCAAAATTCGGTGGCGAGAAGTGAAGAGTTGGGCGTGGAGCGACGCCGGAGAGGAAGCGGAGGTCACAACCACCATAGCTGCTAAACCGGGGAAGTTAATCTCGTTGTTCGTTATATTAGCCTCACGTTTATATATGTTATCCAGTTGGGGCGTGATCCTCTGTATTTGATGTATGATAAAGAAGATGTACCCTGATCAAGGTTGCTGGGCTCTTTCATCATGGGTTTGGAGCCTTTGGGCTTCAAAATGGACTAATTAGAGAATAAGCCATTGAACTTTCAAAACAGCAAACCAAATAAATCCCTTTATATTTTTCGTAGCAAATAAGCTTTCCATGTTTTAATTTGTGGCAAATAACTCCAAATTTCATTTTTTGCTGGAATTTTTAAAATAATTAATAAAATATTATTTTCTAATTACATCACTAATTGAATCATTAAAACCAAAATTGAAAAAAAGAAAAGAAAAGATAACATTTTTCCCTTGAGTGTGTTATTTTTTTGTTTTCTTTATTTCCATTAGAGGACCTAGATAATTACAAAGTAAAAAAAAAAGAAGGTCAACCTATATTTATGAATTTTTGCTAGAAAAATATAAAATAAACAATGTAGAACGAATAAACTAGATACATGCAAAACCATAACACTCTTTGAGTACAAGGAAGCCAATCAACTCTTCTTTAACATAACAATCATTTCCTTTTAAATTTTTATTTAGGAATTATGGATAATATTTACCCTTTTCATTTTGATGATAAAACTTGGAGTAAATATCCAAGAGTTTGAAAAAAAAATAATAATCTCCTTCTAGATAGGATCTAACAACAAAATTAAATGGCATAACGCAACAACCCAATAAATTCAAGTTCAATTATTAAAAAAAGTTTTAAGTCAGTCAACCATTAAATTTTCATTTAAAAAGAAAGACAAAAAAATAATTTGCCACTTGACATAAATTTAATATTTTTTTCTTGGTTTAAAAAGAATTATTAATAGATTTCCCTCGTGTTTTTTATGGTAAAAGAGAGGTCTAGTTTTTAATAAATGCACTCCAAAAAGTTGGAGAAGAAGCAAGGAAGGAAGAATCATCTGCGTGCCTGTCCAGTCGAAGGAAAAAGACGCCGCGGCCCTAGCCTAAATTAAAGGAGGGTACTCGCTTCCCGCTTCACAAAATCCCACACATTGGGACACCTTTTGGCGGCACTACGTTACCAGTCCCCTAATTCCTGCCACAAACGTAAAGCAACAGGCATCTCCGTCCTCTCTACTTCCTCTGGTTTTCTCTTCTCTCGTCGAATCCTTCCATTTCCAGATCTGGAAGACTGAGAATGGGAGCTTATTGCAATGAGGAGGTCCGTATGTTCCCTGTCTGCGACTTCGCCTCCTCGCGCGATCTCCGGCTCTCCAAGAATGTTCGTGACAACGTTCATGGCACCATTTATCTTGATCCGGTATTTCGCTTCTCCTGCTTCCATGCTTTTCTCCATTTTCACTTTTCTTTGTTTATTCTTGTTGTGGTTAAGCTACTGTTACCACATTTTTTTGTATTATACTGGCGAAATTGGAAGAGTTCGTCTGATTTTGTGTTCTTGATTTGTTTCGTTGTTGCTCTTCAGTAATTCGAATTTCTGAAAAGTTAGAATTTCTTGAATGTTTAGTGACGTTTCTTGAAAAAAATAATTGGAATCGAGATGAAGTTATTAGTGAACTGATTCAATAATTGCTGAGTTCTCTGTTTGGTTGCAGCTCGCTTTGAAGTTTCTTGATACCGAGCAATTTCAAAGGCAAGCTGATATTTCTTTTGAATCTCTTCACTGATTTTACGGTGCTTTCTCTGATTTTTTTTTTTTTTCCTTTTCTTGACTGTGTTGCAGGCTTCGTGATCTGAAACAACTAGGTAAGCTCTTTGTTATTTTCTTTTTTCAGGAATGCATGTTTTCAGGACAAAAATGAGTAAATATGGAAAAGGAAATGGAGAAGTTATTCTGTTAGCATATGTCTGGCAATCAAACATAATTTTATTCTAGTTTTTCAGTTTTTGGTGGAATTTTTGCAATAATTGCGTGACGCTATTCACTATCAATTAGACATAGCATAGGCTTGTGCTTGTAAGATACTAGTCTGCAGGCTTTAAACCTACCATACAAAAGTTATTTTTACATTGTATACTTATTTTAGCATATGCATTTGATATAATGTAAGATACTAGTCTGCAGGCTTTTTTTTATATTCATGCTCACATAAACAGGCATGTGATTGTATAAAACATTTAGAATTTTATTAGGACTTGCGGTGTATAATTTACCTTAACGGTAATATCCTTTGAGATGTAAGTTCTTCATAATTTTTGAACAAGAAGGTTGTCATGCAACATCGTCCCTTTTTTTTCCCTGTAGTAGACCAGTGTCAATACTTTTTGATTGCTTTAATGTTGAGTTCCCTCTATGTTTTAAAGTTTCAAGTGTTTGGCATGTCATAATTCATTGGGTAGTGCAGGCTGTAACTTGTTGATGTGACAAAATTTTCATGTTTCAGGGATGGCATACATGGTTTATCCTGGTGCTGTACATACCAGATTTGAACATTCCCTTGGGGTATATTGGATTGCTGGTGAAGCAGTTCAAAAGCTAAAAAGTTACCAGGTATAGGCTGTTTTCCACCTGCAGTGATGATTCTTATTAATCCTATAGAAATATTTACAATTTCATCATTGCAGGGTTTGGAGCTTGGTATTGACCAGTTTGATATTCAAACTGTGAAACTTGCAGGTAATTAATTGTTTTTCCTACTTATCGTCATCTATTTCAAACAATTTAGTTCCTTATGTGTTTTGTTAATCCAATTGTAGGCCTTTTACATGATATTGGCCATGGACCTTTCAGTCACTTGTTTGAACGTGAGTTTCTCCCAAGGGTTCTTAAGGGCTCCAAATGGTATGCATTACGTTTTTCAGTGGGATGCATTTATTCTTCTTTTCTGCACAAGCATCTTGACTCTAATTATTTGGTGTTTTGCACCATTGCTTGAAATTAGTGGGTTTATCTATTTATTTATTTATTTTTATTTTTTAACTTCTTGCTTTACTCTCTACCATCCAAACTCTTGAGCTTACAAGATTATCTCTATCACTGTATTGTTTGAAAGACTGGTAAATATTGTTCATGTTTCTTGCCTGTGGAATGACATTGCCAAAACAAAGATTACTATTGCATAGAATAGAATATAAGTTTCTCTCTTTTCTGCATTTTTTTTTTCTTGTTTAATAGGAGGCAATGTTCCCTTGAAAAAAAATGAGTCCAAAAGTGTGTGAATGTTAACCCCTCAATCCTACAAAAGTAATAAGAAACTTAAAGGAAAAGTAAGTTTGTGGCTTACCATTCTCATCCTTTTAGTCAAACTTTACTTTCTAGGTCTCATGAACAAATGTCAGTGAAGATGGTTGATCATATTGTTGATGCACATCATATTGATATTGACTCCGAGATGATTAAAAGAGTCAAGGTAAGACTATCTTGTTAGGAATGCTATGTTTCCATGATTCTTTTCTTTTTCTAGATATTCTTTGTCTTTGCTACAAAATATCAGGCATTCTGAGGTTGGCCTTAGACATTGAATTGTTTTCATTGATATTGCAAATAAAATTGGGAGATAAAAGAACAGTAAGCATCATTTGATCTCTGAATTTATCAGCAATGTGTGGATTATTCTCTCTGTCCTTCTCTTTCTCTTTTGTTTTCATATTCAAATTTGAATTGTAATTTTTTCCTCAAGCAGAAGGCTTAGCAAGTATAAAACTAAATTTTATGCTGGTGGATAGTAACTTTCCTGATTTGATTCATTTTCCTTTTTCATCTTGCATCTTTTCCTGCACTGTTGAATTTGATCTGACAATGTCCATATTGAAAATATTTTAATTATAAATTGAGCCTTACTAGACAAATGTTAGTTTTAAATGACAACCAAAGCCAATTTTCTGTTGCTGGGACTGGTACCTATTTAATCAATTTTTTTGGGCAGGAAATGATACTAGCTAGCTCTGAATTTGCACTACCTAAAGTAAGACTCTTTTCTTTAGTACTCCAATGTGGGCACCTTTTATTACCATTTTTTTTTTCTTTAAGCTACATGCATTGAACATCTAGGTTGTTTTCATCTTATATCTGTTGCCAATCTTATTTGTAGGGAACAAAGGAGAAACATTTCTTATATGATATAGTTGCAAATGGTCAAAATGGAATTGATGTGGATAAGTGGGTGAAGTTCAATGATTTGTCTATAGAATTTCCCTTCCAGTTGAAGCTTCAATTTAGAACAATAGTTTAATTAATGAATATTCTGTTTATGTATAGGTTTGATTACATTGCTCGTGACTCCCGAGCTTGTGGTCTGGGATGCAACTTTGATTTTCAAAGGTTCTAGTAATCTTCAGGAGTGTGGTTAATGGTTTATGTTTATTAATAGTGGGTTAAAGGGTCAAAAAGAGGTATAAATGGACTGTTATGGTTTCTCCAGCATTTTACATTCTTCAACACTTGCAGGTTATTGGAGAAAATGCGAGTTTTGGGTGATGAGATTTGCTATCCTGCTAAGGAATGTTAGTGTCTCGTGTCTTATTCAATTATCATGCTTATTTTATTTTTATTATCTCGTGCTTATTGTTGGGTAATGATTCTGTCTGCCAGATCTTACTGTCCAAAAATTATTCTTGACTCGTGCTGATCTTTATCGAACAGTCTATACCCATCCTAAAGTGAAGGTATAAACAGAAGTAACATTAGAGTTCTGGTTCTGCATGTTCACACAAAGTTCTTGCACATTTATTTATTTTTCTTTAACCTCTGGGCTTTTGATAATTCATATACATGTCTTTTCAAACACAGGCCATAGAGCTCATGATAGCAGATGCACTGTTCAAAGCCAATGACTATTTAGAAATTTCATCTTCCGTTCAAGATCCTTCTGAATACTGGAAGGTAGCATGATTATTTGTGCTTCTGATTTGTATTAGTTTTATTCCTATTTCTTTAATTTTTTATGGCTTCTTTTAACTTTTTCCAGTTAGATGACACAATACTCAAAACTATTGAGACAGCTCCAATTCAAGAACTGCAAGAAGCTAGGGACTTGATCCTGCGCATTCGCAGGAGAAATTTATACCAGGTAGTGAGGTTTTGCTGATTATTAGCTTCTATTTTGTACTTTAACCGTCTCGTGCAAAGTAGAAACTATTCTGTAGATAATTACTTTGCTTGCATTGTGTGAAAGGTTAAAGTTACAATGTTATGACATTTTCTCGTCACAGTTCTGTAATGAGTATGCAGTTCCAAAAGAGGAAATGGAGCATTTCAAAGATGTTACTGCAGGAGACATTGTCTGTTCCCAGGTACTTATATACCATTTTCTGTTGACGTGTATGCTTTTTAATGTATCTTTTCAAGTTTTAGAGCGTAGGCGGAGTCAATTATTGTTTGCCTGGAACTTTTTTTTGTTCAGACAAACAGCAGTTTTACACTAAAAGAAGAAGACATAGCTGTTAGTAATGTCAGGATTGATTTGACACGTGGAAGGCAAAATCCTCTGCAAAGGTATCATGATATCTTTAATCTAAATTATTTAGAGGCAATTTCTTTTTCTCCTTTACAGCTTTTCTTGGTTTGAAAAACAGCTGAATTGTAGTCATTGATTATCTTTTTTTCTCTGATGTTTGACGGGCCCTCCTTCTACTCTGGCAGCATCAACTTTTTCAAGGTATTGAAACTCAAATACCTTGAATCCTATATATAAAATACTGATTCTTATTCTATACCATACCTTCTTTTAAAACGTTTGGTTTGAATTGAGTCATCTTTATCTTATTTATAGAAAGTTTTTATACACAGGGCATTTTTTCTGTTTACAGTTATGATGATATAATTCATATGGCTTTTTTTTTTTATCCCATAGTTTGGAGAGGGGGACTGTTGATTTCAGAAACTTTCAGAGTGCATTTCATAACTTAATATTTGAGGTGGTAGTAAATACATTAAAGATTGGGTTATAATAATATCAAATGGAAGCTAGAAATAAATTGTAAATAATTTCAAAATCTATATGTAGGACAAGTGTGAATGTCGTTCAAGAGTTTCTTCCATATCATATAGCAGTCACTAAAAACATGCAAAATAAATACATAATATAGGCAGAGATCCTTATTTGTTTACATCATTGAGACCAGGTTTTCTGACAATTGATTGTTTTTCAGGATTACGAGAGTGAGGAGAAGTTTTCCATACCTGATAGTCGGATCAGTCACTTGCTACCTACATCTTTTCAGGATATGATAGTGAGGGTGTACTCTAAAAAGCCTGAATTGGTCTGTGAATCCAAATACTATTGTCAACTTGATTGGAATGTCTTTCTATAATTATTCCATTCCTCTTGACCATCTTTGCTTTTCAAAACTCTGTTTGACCAGGTGGCCGCTGTCTCGGACGCTTTTGAAAATTTTCAACTAAAAACCTATGGGATCAAAACACAAGTGCATCCTACTCCAGAGAAGAAGAAACGGTGCTTATGAGGTTACACTGTATTGACTGTTTCTCTGTTCATACTCGTCTACTAGAAAATATATAGAACGTATCCAGTTGCAGGCATCAACTCAATATAGTTCATATATTGTACACTAGAGGATTTGTAAACGAATTCTTCCATATCATTTGTCCCCAAGTGTAACCTTGAAAGTTTTACCTCCATTGCGTGAATCAGATTGTATAGCTGAGTTTGGAAAGGAATAGAATTCGTTTCAAGTGAAAATTTAGTACAATGAGCAATTATGTCAATTAGAAAACAAAAAAGGCAAAACTTAGGATGTTGAATTTCAACCACATGATAGATGAGATTCAAGTGGAATTTATATAATCTCATGACTCTCATCTTATGATTGAGATTGAATGTTATATAATATTTTAATTCTCTCCATTCTAATTAAAAAATTGTCCTATGATGACTCACTACGATAAGCCATACAAATGAGTAAGTTTTAGGAGCCAAGGAAACCGCAGAAAGCCTTCCTCTTAGATTAGTGGGCAAGGTAAGGTTTAAGTCCATCTTTGACTAGCCGGTCTAGAACTTCAACGAAAATGTCCGAGGACTGCCCGTCACGAAAAGAACCTTGTCCCGCTCTCTAGTTATTCAAATTTCAACTCCTTCCTCATCTCTAGTGATCATAATTTGATTTTTTTGATTTTTTTGATTTTTTTTAATTTAAATTTTTGATAAAAATTTAATAATTTATATAAATAATAATTAAAATTCTTTTTCTATATGAAGTTATTTTTATTTTATCAAAAATAATTTTTAATTATTTTTTATATAATATAAAATTTTTATTTAAAATTTATATTTAAAAAATTAAAAAATCAAGTTAAAGTTACTTAAAATGAAAGAAAATAGCATAACATAATACTCTTCTTGAGTTGGATTCGTTGGATTCTTAGGCCGACTTGGGTTCGGTATTATTAATTTATTAATCCTATTTTCGCCCCATAAGCCTCTCTTCCTTTGGGTTTGTTTTTCTATTTTACGTTTCACTGAGGGTTTGGAACTTTGGATAACATGGCAACCCACCCTAATATCTAAATGGACCAAATGTGCAAATGGCAAAGTGGGTAGGGTTTGGGCTCAGTTGAGCACCTCAACTGGGCTCTCTGCGATGTACCCAACTGGGTCAACATAAAATTTTGACCAAAACGGTCTAATAGTAGTAGTACACTAGTACCCCCTTTCTGCGTGACCCTTCAGAAACCAAACCTAACGGTCGGAAAATGTCCACCCCCACCCCCCCTCCCCCCCGGCGGCCCTCCTCTATCTATGCAGCCTCGGACGACCGAAACAGTCTCCTCTCCCATAGTCTCTCTCTTTGGAAGAATCAACCTGCTCTCTTCCGCGTGCTGAAATCGTGGTGGCAGAATTAACGTTTTTGTTAGCCTTGGCGGTTAGTCTTCGAATTCCGTCGTTCAATTTCATCGGGTATTTACCTATAGAAGTTATGATTTTCTCTTTAGAATTTTTTGCTTCGATAGTTCGATAGATCATGGATTGGCAAATGTTAGGGTTTAATCACTTAATTGCAAGAAATTTTAATAGGCAATCAATGGTGGAGCTGCGTCTTTCCCCCATTTTTTTCTATTGTTTGACTTGAATTTTAGAAGCAGTTTCGCTGCTAACTTGCTATGAATTCCAAAAGAGAATTTCCCAAACGTTTCTTTCAGACCATTTTCTAAGTGTTCTGTTCATCTTTCAGTCTTTACTCTTTAGCAACTCTGCAAGAAAACAGAGATGGGTCACCGGAGATATATGTATTCTCAGGTAAAATATAGGTTAATTCTTAGATGTTGTACTTAATATGTTACTGGGAAGATATGATTCATATTCTATGGGACATATGTTTAAGTGATTCTTCTTCTTAGTGTTTACCTCAGTAATTGGTTAATCGTGTTTGAAGTTTTCAGGGTGGTATAATTCCTAATTCTATTATTTTGGTGTAAAGATGTTAATGACTTCACAGCTCTCACTTCTCAGATTGTATAGTTCAAACATCGTATACTCTTTTTGTTTGCTTCAATTCTGCTTCTGAGTTTGTTTATTATTCACTTTGCAATGTAGAACAGATGGTGAGTTTTCCGTGTTTTGGATGGTATGTTTCAAACATCTTTATTTTTGGCCACTCAAAAGGAATTATGTTACAATTTTAAACTTGATTGTAGGGTGATTATTAATTCAAGTCAATTTGTGAGCTATGGTATCTGTCTGAAATGTAGATTGATTTGAATTTTATGGTTCTTGTTTAGAGGTTCAGGCTTGTCTACCTTCAGATGCAGATTCTTTTGAATTTTAAGTATATTTCCTAAAATTTAATTCATTTAACTTTCTTCTTTTTCTTAAGTTGTTTAACTGATCTTCTATGTTGGAAGAATCAAGCCATAGACATGTTAATCATTTCTTCATGGATTATTCAGTTAATCAATCTGTTGTCTTTAATTTGATTAGTTACTAACAAGTTTTATTGATTTGGATTTTCTATGGGATTTACCTCAGTTGTGGAGAGATGAACTATATGGGGCCAAAGGTATCTTTTGGTTCAAAGTCTTAATGCTCAAGATCTCTTTTACTTCTTTTTTCTTTTCCCACTTTTATAATTGTTCATTTATCTTCTTTTATCATGAATTGTGTAATTCAATCTGTGGATTGCAATTTTATTTGTATGTAAGTTTACACAAACTCATCATTTCACAACACACACTCACCAGTCACCACTCAATGTGCATGCTAAGTAACGTCACTAGATGGTATAATAAGTTTTTAAAATCCAAGTAGAGGTATGATATCGTAAAAACACTGAGGGATACCAAGATATGGAGTAATGTCAGTACTTCGTATAAGATTAAGTAATCTATGTTTAAGAGATGATATAACCATTCAACATTCAAGGATAACAAATCTAGAGAGTAATCTACTGGTCTCTACAATGTCAATTGAGAGCTTTACCATGAGAAAGATGTTTGTAAATAATGGAAGTGCCCATGCTATTCCATGCTATCACATATTTGGGAGTAGTAGACTTTGTGAAGTTTGGTTGTAGAACTACACTGGACAATCTACTGGTTTAGCAACATGTTAGTCCCAGTTAGAGGGGTCATTTCCTTGCTAGTGATCTTGGGATGTCTGCTTGTCATGTTGCCACAATGTTAAGGTTCTGGTTGTCAAGAAAGGTGGGGCTTGCAGTATTTTCCTTGGCAAATCTACCTTCAACTACATGAAAGGTATATTCTTTAATTTCATTTGAAACTTCAAATCCATTTGGTATCACCTTGATCTTTACGGTTTTTTGACATTTCTTTTTTTTTTTTCTTCTTTTATTTATTTGAAACAGTTCTTTTGGGGTTTTTCTGCGTTTCATGTTTTGATTTTCTTTTTCGTTTTATCCAATTCTCTAATCCTTCTTTTGTAGAAAACCATTTTTGTTTTGGTTGTCTGAAAAATCAACAGATAACTTCTTGCCACAATCTTTGGAAACTAGAAAAGTTGTTTTTGGCAACAAGTATGCCCAAAATGCATTATCTTATTAGTACCATTATACAGTATGTTACCTCTTTTCTTTTCCATATTATTTATATTTTTCTATATCTGATGTTTTCTTTATATAAGTTGTATTTGGTTTTTTGTTGTATATTTATAGATTTCAAACATTTTAATGGACTTTTCTACCAGTACTCGTTAAAATGACATTGAATACTACTGGATATAATTTGATATTTCATTATTAAATATTAGTAAATAATTATTATAAAATTATTATTAAATATGTAATAACAAAATGTGTATTAAATAATAGTTGTATTTTCACGTAAACATACTTGTAGGCACATTATGATAATAATCTTTTAACTGTTTTACGTCCTTTTGAACCTTTTGGAATGTAATTCAATTAAGTTTACATTAAAATAATTTATTTGTTTTTTTCGTAAATCTTTCTCAAAAAAATAAATAAATAAATAAAAATAAAAACAAAAAACCCCTTCAGTTTTAACTTTTAAGTTTCCAAATTTTATTTTCACTTTTTTTCTTCATTTTTATCCAAATTTCATTTTCGACTTTTTTCTTTCATTTTCTATGCTTTTGCGGTGATACCAAATGATTCTCCATTCCAACTCCTTTTTGTGAAGCTCAAAATTAATCCAAGTATTGAGCTATACAATTACACCATCTTCTCTAGGAGTTGGTGATGAAAGTTTCAAATGAAATGATAAAAAATTATGCCTTTTATGGAGTTTGGGCAAGGCGTGCCAAAGGAGAATACTCTAAGTGAGGCTAATATCTTGACAACACCTTGCCGTGGCAATCTGTCCAAGTTGTATTCCCGTGACTCTATTAGGAGATGCTCTCTCAAATGGGATAGGCATGTTTGTTTGACCTATTGTTCCGTTCGTTTCGTTCTTTTCAACCCCATTTCAATAGGTCTCATTCTTCTGAATGTGTGGTAGAAAGGAATATCAAATGTACTGCCACGATATACAAACACTCTTTTATGTTTTAGTTCTTAATCCAATGTAGATGGAGACTCGTTGATTGTTCTTCGGAATTGAATCCGTTTCAAGGTTTATATCCTTATCTTTCTTTCTTTTTTTAATAAATTATAATTTGAGAAGGGAGATTCAAATTGCATGTAAAAGGGATAATAATATAGTACCTGAGTTTCATAACCTGATAGTTATCACATTTTACAAAAGCTATATAATTATCAGATTATATAACTTAGGTGCTATATTATTATCTTTTTTATGTAAAATGTACATGTCAATTTAATTTATTAGTATTGTACTTAATGCACTCTTGTTTTTTCTGATTTCATGTGCTTATGATTTTTGCAGGTTTTCAATTGAATGTTTCAAGTTCGGATATTAGGACGAGTGAAGAATGGTGTAGAAAATTGCTACCTTCAATTGTAAAGCAAGTATTGAAATGAAATTATTTTGTGATATTACCTGATCTTTTCCATCATTTCTCGTTTTTCTTTTATCATCTATCGCCATATTGAAACTTATTTTCTGTTTAATTTTACACTGGCAATGTAATTGGTATGATTAAAATAATCGTTTGTGACTAAGTTCTCAAATCAATTCTACTTTAATCATTGTCATGGCAAACCCAACATTTATCTATTAATGTGCTCATGATCAAGAATAAGTACGATGCTAATGTCCTTTGGGAATTTTGATTTAGGGTTCAAACTTCTAAGCACCTTCCCAATGGAACCTCCCTCAAATTACCCTTCTGCTTGCCTTTATCATTCCACCGAGAATCCATTGTTTTTATAACATTCAATATCAATCATGGAACTTCAACTTCCATATTTTAATAAAGAAAATAGGTACCTTTTTGATTCCATACTATTGTACTTTTCCTCCTCGGCCAAATGAGAAAGGCCACATTGCTTTCATTAGTAGAAAATAATATCTTGCCCTCACCCTTCTTTTTTTTTTTTAAATAATAATAATGATACACAAATAATTTATTTATAAAATTTTATTTATAATTTCAATATATTATTAAATGAATTAATATATATATAATATTACAAAAGGTCAACAATGCCATTGTGTTTTACAGCCCATGACCATTTCAACACTTTTAATTTACCACAAATAATTTATTTATAAAATTTTATTTATAATTTCAATATATTATTAAATGAATTAATATATATATAATATTACATATTTGAGTATAATAAAAAGAGTTCGTCAATAAATAATATCTAAAATTTATGGGATTGTTGTACACAAAAATCATACCTAAATTATTTTCCTTCTTTGAAACTCCCTTTTAATGTTGGCTCCCATACCCTAACAGTCTACCTTGTTCGAACTTAATGAGTTATTTAAAGAAGGCGCTGTTAATGGATGTACTTAGTTAAATATCTCACCCACCCCCCCTTTTTTTTAATGTTTTGTTTACAGTATATGATTAAAAAAAACCCATGGTTAAGTAAGTACGTGGGGCATAACAAGAGCACTTTATCTTTAAGCTACTTGATTACCATGAGCCTTTGGGCAGATATTACCATGGGCCCCTAAGCAGCATTTTCCTTTAAATTCATGGTTTTGATCTTTAATTACTTTTTATAAAAATATATTTTTTTCATTTTAGAAATTAAATAACAAGAGAAGATAGTTTGGTAACCTGTAGCTAGAGGTGTAATCCCTTAACCTCGTTTTAGATCATAAAATTATTATTATTTTTAAATAGTTAGAGTGTTCTAAGTTACTTAACTATTTTTAGTTTAATTTTTCTAAAAATAATTTTATAATCATACCTCCCACATCCATTGTTTACTAAAAAAAAAGTATTGACAAAGGATTAAAATTTTATTTATTATAATTGAATATTAATTAATTATATGTAAAAATTTTATTTTTTTATATTAATTGGTGGGGAATGGGGATCCCCACGGGAATCCCCATTCCCCGCGAGGAACGGGGATGAGGGGTAAAATTTACCCCTCATTAAAAATCCTCACGGGAATCCTTGTTCCCGTCATTCGTGAAGACAAAGACGAAGAGGGACTCTCCAACCCCGCGAGGCCCCGTTGACATCATAGTGGTGGAGTGGTACGAGATGCGGCGATTAAACCGTTCAGGTGGTTTGGGGAGCTACGACATTGAGGTTGCGTTTTGGGGGGAAATTACGGGGATTGCCAATATTCCAATTTGATACAAATTTCAAGTTCAACGATTTGGGCGCCAGTCTTAGTT